GTGCAGCTGAGCTGGGGGAGCAGGTGGACAGCCTGCAGCGGGTGCGGCAGAAGCTAGAAAAGGAAAAGAGTGAGCTGCGCATGGAAGTGGACGATCTGGGTGCGAACGTGGAGACCCTGGCCCGCAGCAAGGTGTCTGCCTTCTTCCTGACTCCTGACCCGCCCTGACTCTGAATTAGTCCTGCCTGAGGAGCTGGCCCCATCCATCCCCTGACCTCGGCTACCTAGCCCAGTACTGAACCCACACACAGCAGCCTTCACTAAGTACCCAATCCTGACTCCTGGACCCATATATCTGGTATCTAACCCTTGGCCCCCACAATTCTGACTTCAAACCCTGACTCCTAAATCCCATTTCCTAGCTCCAGGTCATTTTAACCCAGCATCTAATTCCAAGCGCAGACCCTTGAACTCTGACCAAATATATATTTTGACTTTCGGACTTGAACCCAACCTTGACCTCTGACCTTTATACTACCTAATCCTAATTTCTGACCATTGTCCCCAGCTGACTCCAGATCTAGTATCCTAGCACTCACCTGACTTGTCCTTGGGACCAGTGTAGGCCTCCCACTTCTGAGGCCCCTGTTAAGGCGTGTGCCCAGGAGTAGAATCCCTGACCCCAAATGTGGGGCTTGGATCTCCCTTCAGTTCCTGGGCCTTTATCCAGCTTTTCAGTTCCTGGTCCCAGGTCCCAGTCTCTGGCCACCCCAGATCCTACCCTCTGATGCAGACTTGTCTTGACCCCAGGCCAGTGCAGAGAAGCTGTGCCGGGCCTATGAGGATCAGCTAAGTGAGGCCAAGATCAAGGTGGAAGAGCTTCAGCGGCAGCTGGCAGACGCGAGCACCCAGCGTGGGCGGCTGCAGACTGAGAATGGTGAGGCCAGGGCTCAGCTCCCACACTAGGTAGGGCCTGCCTAGGTACTGCCCACACCCATCTGACCTGCCTGCCCACCCCTCTGCCTGCAGGGGAGCTGGGCCGCCTGCTGGAGGAGAAGGAGTCTCTGATCAGCCAGCTGAGTCGTGGGAAGACCTCTGCTTCCCAGAGCCTGGAGGAACTTCGGAGGCAGCTGGAGGAGGAAAGCAAGGTCAGCCAGCACTGGAGACGGCCGCGTGGGCAGGTGTGCACTGGGCCGGCTGGCCCTGACCCATGCTAAGTTCACTGGTGTCCCTGCAGGCCAAGAGTGCACTGGCCCATGCAGTACAGGCTTTGCGGCACGATTGTGACCTCCTTCGGGAGCAACATGAGGAGGAGGCTGAGGCCCAGGCTGAGCTGCAGCGGCTGCTGTCCAAGGCCAATGCTGAGGTAGCCCAATGGAGGAGCAAATACGAGGCAGATGCCATCCAGAGGACCGAGGAGCTGGAGGAGGCCAAGTGAGTGTCTGGAGGCCAGGCGATCACCACAGGTTTACATTTGTGCCTGAGCCCTGCTGGGGGTGAGGGAGAGGCAGGGGCCCTTCCGCTGTGGACCGCTTTCCCTGTATGTCCTCACCCGGCATGGTCCATGGCCCAGAAAGAAGCTGGCCCTACGACTGCAGGAGGCAGAAGAGGGCGTAGAAGCTGCAAATGCTAAGTGCTCATCACTGGAGAAGGCCAAGCTAAGGCTGCAGACGGAGACAGAGGATGTGACCCTGGAGCTGGAAAGGGCAACTTCAGCAGCTGCTGCACTGGATAAGAAGCAGCGGCACTTGGAGCGGGCTCTGGAGGAGCGGAGGCGGCAGGAGGAGGAGACACAGCGAGAGCTGGAGGTGGCACAGAGGGAAGCCCGTGGCCTGGGCACTGAGCTCTTCCGGCTTCGGCATAGCCATGAAGAGGCACTTGAGGCCCTGGAGACACTCAAGCGGGAGAACAAGAACTTGCAGGGTAGGACCTAGTATCGGGAGCACCTTAGCCTTACCCTGGAGTAGGAAGTAATCTGGATTGGGGCACAAGTCAAGTCATGGGGGTGTCCTCTCAATATCCTGTCGTCTTTGCAGAGGAGATCAGTGACCTCACAGATCAGGTCAGCCTCAGTGGGAAGAGCATCCAGGAACTGGAGAAAGCCAAGAAGGCACTGGAAGGGGAGAAGAGTGAGCTCCAGGCGGCACTGGAGGAGGCTGAGGTCAGGGATGGCCACAGGGACCGGCAGATGCTCACCCGTGATTCCCCAATCTCCGCTCCCTGAACAAACCCGTCCCCCCATCCCGACCCACATGCACGCTCCATGTTCCCAGGGGGCCCTGGAACTGGAGGAGACTAAGACTCTGCGGATCCAGCTGGAGCTGTCCCAGGTCAAGGCAGAAGTGGACCGGAAGCTGGCGGAGAAGGATGAGGAGTGCACTAACCTGAGGTCTGGCTACTGCTCTTCTCCCAGCAAAGGGCAGAAAGCAGTGCCTGTGCCCACGGTGGCATGCTGACCTGGACATCTAGTCCTGCTCTGCCACATGGCTTTCTCAGGTCCCCACTCCAGAGGTGAACCTCTCTGGAGCTAAGGGATACCCAAGGCCACACAGGTTGACCCAGAGTTTACTCCATGTCTATTCTGGGCCTCCCTCTATAAAGAGCAACAGGTAGCACAAAGGGCTGTAAAACAGGGCAGGGTGACTCCTCCCCAGAGTGGGTCTCCATCTCCATCTTGGCATTTGGGGGCTGTGCATTGCTTGTGCCGCTCCTTTCTTGCATGACCAGCCCATCCCTCATCCTGCCTTTCCACAGGCGCAACCACCAGCGGGCTGTGGAGTCTCTGCAGGCTTCCCTGGATGCAGAGACCCGGGCCCGCAATGAGGCACTGAGGCTCAAGAAGAAGATGGAGGGTGACCTCAATGACCTGGAGCTGCAGCTGGGCCACGCCACCCGCCAGACCATGGAGGCGCAGGCAGCCACACGGCTGCTGCAGGCCCAACTCAAGGAGGAGCAGGCAGGGAGAGACGAGGAGCAGAGGCTGGCTGCCGAGCTCCGAGAGCAGGCGCAGGCCTTGGAGCGCCGGGCAGGGTTGCTTGCTGCCGAGCTCGAAGAGCTGCGGGCTGTCCTGGAACAGGGGGAGCGCAGCCGGCGGCTGGCAGAGCAGGAGCTGCTGGAGGCCACTGAGCGGCTCAACCTCCTGCACTCACAGGTGGGGACGGGACAAGGATGCCCCCAGGCACGGGAGCGGAGGGGCCCGCTGGCCAGCTGAGACTCTGCTTCCCCGCAGAACACAGGTCTCCTGAATCAGAAAAAGAAGCTGGAGGCAGACTTGGCCCAGCTGAGCGGGGAAGTGGAGGAGGCTGCCCAGGAGAAGCGGGAAGCCGAGGAGAAGGCTAAGAAGGCCATCACCGATGTGAGACTCTCAGGGGTCGGGGGAGTGCAGGGCAGAGCCCAGAGGAAACTCCCTCGGGCTCGTCCCCTTCTGACCACACCATCTCCTCCCCCACAGGCAGCCATGATGGCCGAGGAGCTGAAGAAGGAGCAGGACACAAGCGCACACCTGGAGCGGATGAAGAAGACTCTGGAGCAGACGGTGCGGGAGCTGCAGGCCCGCCTTGAGGAAGCCGAACAGGCTGCCCTCCGGGGTGGGAAGAAGCAGGTGCAGAAGCTGGAGGCCAAGGTACGTGTGGCTCTGCAAGTCCTTCCCCAGCAGGGTGAGCGGCAGGGTAGGCTCGGCCTGCAGGCCAACCCACGGCTGCCCCCAGGTGCGGGAGCTGGAGGCCGAGCTGGACGCAGAGCAGAAGAAGCACGCCGAGGCCCTTAAGAGCGTGCGCAAACATGAGCGTCGGGTCAAGGAGCTTGCATACCAGGTGAGGGACAGGGTCTACCCTGGGGCGCCCTGGAGCCGGCCCAGCCTGGGCACACCTTGAGTCCCTTTTGCCTGCCCAGGCTGAGGAGGACAGGAAGAACCTGGCTCGCATGCAGGACCTGGTAGATAAACTGCAGAGCAAAGTCAAGAGCTACAAGCGCCAGTTTGAGGAGGCGGTGAGCACACTGGGGTCTGGGCACCCCGGGCTGGTCAGGATGCCAAGAGTGACTCAATTTCAGCCGTGGCTCTCAGGCCTGTTGGTGGCCTGTGGCCAGGTGAGGTGTCAGTACAGGCTTCCCTTGAGGGTAGCAGCTCCCTCCTCCCAATGCAGTGATGCCCCAAGTCCCTAACATCCCCCAGTTCCCCTCGGCTAGGCCTGAGGTCACCTGATGGCAGGGTGGCACACGGGCATGTCTTGAAGTCTCCACTTCCTCCTTCCTGCGGTGGGTCCTGGTGAGGGGTGAGGTGGGCAGAGTGGAGGACCCGAGTGAGCACTTGTTACTAAGGGAACCCAAGGCCCTGCCCACCTCCCCAGGAGCAGCAGGCCAGCACCAACCTGGCCAAGTACCGCAAGGCTCAACACGAGCTGGATGACGCAGAGGAGCGGGCAGACATGGCAGAGACGCAGGCCAACAAGCTGCGGGCACGGACCCGGGATGCCCTGGGCCCCAAGGTGAGGTGGTCTGAGGGGCGCTGCCCCCCATGGAGGGAGCGTGCGGGTGGAAACAGTGGTACAGCTCACTCTGCCTCCCTTGCCTCTTAGCACAAGGAGTGATAGCCTGAGCCCCCGCGCTCTCAGGAGGGACACTGCTGAGACCCTGCCTCCATCTCTGCCACTCACCCCCCTAAGCCCTGGAACACCCTGAATGCCACGTCTACATCAGCAGCTGTGTCCTTCTTATTCCTTGGAATTAAGAAAAGGGAAGGGAACAAAATCAGGTCCACATCAGTCATTTAAAATAAAGTTCTTTAATAGTCTCCGTTTAATTGGTTTATTTGCTGTTAATAAATTGGTAACACAGGAAGGGCCAAGGATAAGCTCCCAGCCAGGCTCCTGTGTTCAGGCTCAGGCAGGAGATGCTGCCCTGGGGCAAGGCGGGCACAGCCACCTCATGTCCCAAGGGATGGAGAGAAGAGGTCCTGGGATGAACACAGCGGCCAATGAGCAAACAGAACCAGAGGAGCTAAAGGAAGACGAGGGAGGGAGGGAGAGGACAACAGATGAGCAGGCCTAGGGGAAGGTGGCATTCTCTGGTACCCCAGGCCTGTCCAAGGCTCAGGACCTCTGCCTGGGCCCAGAGGCTCAGCTCACAGATGGTGGGTCCATATCTCCCTTGCCAACCCAGGACAGCCAAGAGACTGAACAGGTGCTCAGACAGAGCCATTGTCATAAGTTCTCTTCCTCTGGGCAGTCCAGCGGGGTCTTGATATGAGGCTTCCTCATGACCTGGGGCCCCCAGACCCAGGGCTGAGGGCCTACACGGTGCTCCCTCCCACCACCAATCCTGTATGTCAGGACCTGGGACAGGCAGGCAGCAACGGGGAAGCTGGGGAGGGATGGAACAGGCAGGCGTGTGGCATGGGCACCCACAGGTACCCGCGCTGGCCCTGGCCCTGGCCCAGCAGCCTCCCTAGGCCTGACCCGAGGTCACTCCTCAGTGAAGTCCCTGTCTATGTCCATGTAGGGCTCTTCGATGTAGCTGACAAGGGCAGAAGGTGACTGGCGGTCTGGGTTCAACAGGATGGACACTGTCTCCTTCCAGTACGAGAAGCTGATACAGGAGCTCTGAGTAAAGAGAGAGGGGCTAGCGGGCGCCTGGAGGACCCAGGCCAAGTCAGAACCCAGAGGGACAAAGAGGAGCCTATCCCATGATCCGGGTGAGGACACCTCACCCAAAACAACCCTCTGAGGGACCCTGGAACTGTGTGTCCACTACCCGCCTGCCGCCCACTCAGGACCGGGGCACTCACGTTCTCCAGGCAGGTGCTGTCCTTGTCTTTGTGCAGATAATGCTGCTGCCAGAAGCGCAGTAGGTTGTGGAAGTTATTGAGCAGGAAGCCAGGATACTTTTTGCTGTGCTCCATCCGCTGCAGCAGGCGCAGGTATAAGGGCAGCCGCTCTTTCCGTCGGGCCAGCATGAGGATCACCAAGCTAGTGTTGAGGCAGCTGACGTTCTCCTGCAAGGCCACAGGCAGCTGGGCTGGGGATGCTGGAGACCTTAGGAGGACCCCAGGCAGAAAGGAGGGCGTCCCAGGCCTGGGCCCTACTGGGCCTTGGCACAGGCTATGGGCCATCCCTGAGTTGCTCATCTTGAGCACCTTCATGTTCCCCACACCCACCCACCCCATCCCCATCCTGATGGCACCAATGTCTGTCCTTGTCTAGATCTTGGCTTAGCTACTGCTTCTTCCAAAAGCTTCAATCTCTTGGCAAGGCTGGGTGCCTGTGGTAGTTATGGTCATCTCAGAACTTTCATTCTCCACTACACTGTGAGCCCTGAGAGGGAGAAGTCTTCATCTGTGTCGCTCAATGTGTATCTTCTGCCCCCATCCCAGGCCTGGCCTCCCGTTATGGTTCAGATCTAAAATGTCCCCCAAACACTTCCTGTGTTCAGGTGGGGCTTTGGAAGATGCTTCGATCACAGGCACTAGATTCACCTTGGATTAATCCACAGAGGAGTTCAGAGCTGAGTGTCCTGTTAAGGTGGGTCCTGGTCAGAACAGGGGTCACTGGGCTGTGACCTGGAAGGGTGTGTTCTGTCTGGCTCCTCCCTTCTCACTCTGCTTCCTGGCTGCCGCAGGCTGGCAGCTTTCCTCCGCTCTGCCCTCCCACCATACCATTTCTTTGGAGCCAGCCAACCATAGACTTCAAAACCATGGGCCAAATTAAGCCTCTTCTCCTTTATTTTTATTTTTTAGGTTTTTTTGGTACTGGGGATCGCACTCAGGGCCTCATGCTTGCCAGGCAGGCACTATACCACTAATCTAAATGCCCAGCCCAAGCCTCTTTCAATTGTGGGTGTTGGTTATTTTGTCCCAGTGACAGGAAAAGTGACTGATATACCTCCCTCGTGTTTATTAGACAACAGAACCTGAGAGGTACTAGTGTTCTCCCATTTTAGACAATGGAGAGTGAAGTTTAGAGAAGGGAAGGCTGCCCAGCTGTTCGAGAAAGGGCTGGGGGGATCCTCAGGTCCAATTCTGTAACCTGGCACATACCAGGAAGAGACAGGGAGTCATACGAGTGCAGTGCCCATCTTGCATGACTCCGTCTGTGACCTCAGAGACTTGCTGCCTTGCTTTTGGCCCCATCTGTAAACTGGAGGGCGCTTGGCAAAACCCTTGAAAGGGACACACTTAGATCGACAGTATGAGACACAACTATACTGGGCTCCAAGGATGAGGGAAAAGGTTCCCAGTCTACCTTTGCCAAGTGCCTACTGGCCAGGGCCCCTCACCTGGGTCAGCGTCTGCACGTGGATGATGTTGATGAGGCGGAAGAGAAAGGACATCTGCGTGGGCACCTGGGATATGTAGGCGAGCAGGCGGCACTCAGACAGGACCTCGGCCACTGTAGAGGGAGGCAGAGGTGTAACAGTAGGCTCAGGGCCTGTGGCCAGGCCACCTGTGCCTCTGGTGAGAAGACTCCCTTGAATCTTGACTCCGTATACCTCAGGGACTTTCGCCATCCAAATGACTACAGGAAACACTTCAGTAGTGAGGACAATCAACCTCCAGCTGATCCACCACCTGGCTAAGCTAAGCCTCTGTTCTGAGCCCCGACCTGGTCCTCTGGAACCATGCTCAGCAAGCAGCCCTCCTAGCCAGCCTGGCACCGGAGCCAGCTCCTCTGTACCATACATACAGAGAGGGAGGGTTCGTTCACAGGCACACAGACCAATGATACTAATTAAGAAAAAGAAAAGCTGGGTGTGATGATATATGCCTGCAATCCTGGCACTCTGGAAGGCAGAAGCAGGATTATAAGCAAATCAGCCAAGATCAGCCTGGGCAACTCAGTGAGACCCTGTCACAAATAAACAAATTAAAAAATAAAAGGCTGGGGATTTAGCTCAATGGTGCTACACCTGCCTGGCAAGCTCAAGGTCCTGAGTTCAATTCCCAGTACCACACACACACAAATTAAAAAATAAAAAGAATAAATAAAATAGGCTGGGAATATAGCTGTATAAAAGGTCCCGGATTTAATTTGCAGTACCACCAAAAACAAAAAACAAGAAACACAAAACAAAAATGAGTGTAAGACACTTTAAATCATTTTCTACAAGGGGTAGGGGAAACGAAAAAATATGAGAAAAGGAAAAAAATGGAAACAAAGACTCTGTAAATAGGGAGGGGTGGAGGGGGTGAAGGGAGGGCAGGGGAATGGGGAAAAAATAACCAAGATGCATCATGTGAAGGTACAAGATCCCAATAATGAATGTAACTGTACTGTATACCTAAAATGTACCAAATCATTTTCTACAAGGGGTAGGGGAAACGAAAAAATATGAGAAAAGGAAAAAAATGGAAACAAAGACTCTGTAAATAGGGAGGGGTGGAGGGGGTGAAGGGAGGGCAGGGGAATGGGGAAAAAATAACCAAGATGCATCATGTGAAGGTACAAGATCCCAATAATGAATGTAACTGTACTGTATACCTAAAATGTACCAACAAACTGAATGGGGAAAAAAAAGAAATTTCATAAAATCATTTTCTACTGCTCCTGCTGTGACTGGTTCCCCGCACAGCTCCCACGTGTGTCTGCACCGTCACAGTGCACTCAAGACCCAAGCGAACAGCTTCCTATACTCACTGGGGGAAGGGGGCAACAGCTGACTGTACCAAAGTCCATGTGGACGTTCCCCTAAAATGGACCCTTTCAAATTTTGAGAATTTGCTGGATGCCACACATCTCAAGGGGGGAAAAAAGCACACGTGTATGCAAATGCCCGGAAGTGTGCGCGAAGTTCTAGGCAAGGCCCAGACCCACCACCCCACACCCTGCCCCAGCACATCCATGATGCTGCTGTGCAGGGACACAGAGTCTCAGGCAACCCTAGCCCAGAAGGGAAAGGGGATGTCATTTGCTTTTGCATTCTGCTGACAACAGTGGTTTTCCTTCATCAAAATGTTGCACATGCTCATTAAAGGAAGCAGAAACAAGAGACAGAGCAGCTGAGCAAATCGGCGAAGACCAAAGATCACCACCTTGACACCAGCCAGGCGAGTGCTAGGGCAGTTACTTCTGTTGTTTCTGCCTCCTGACGGGAGGCCAGTGTCCGACACAAGCACAGGCACACTGCAGCCACTTGCCCTGGCATCCTGGCTTTTCCTTACCTTTCATGTCCACCTGGTTTTCAAATCGGTCCAGTGACAAAGTGACGCAACGCACCAGCATGTTGGAGTCCACAAGGGAGCTATTGATCTGCTTTAGGAACACCTGGAACTGAAGCAAAGATGGTGCTCATTCAAGGCCGTGGGCTGCTGGCCAGGGCCCGGGGTGAGCAGTCACCACCAGAGACACCGGCAATCCCTTGGCCCAGCCCGCTGCTCTGCAGACAGACAAGCTGAGGGAACTGCTCTCCCCACCCTGCTGCTGAGGCCTGATGTTTTGTCCAGTGGTTCTGCACCGAACATCCTGTGTTCCCCTACCTTTAACTTCAACTAGTTTTGGTTGGGTCTGTGTCACACACTTTTGGAAGCCAATATCCCAGGCCCAGTCCTGCTTTCTGGACCTCCCACAGTGGCATGCACCGCACAGCACCCAGCTACATCACATTCCACCCATTCCTACCCTTGTTCCCCTGTAAGTACTTGAGACTTTCATCCCTGTATTCCTAGGGTCTAGGAGAACCCAGCACAGAGGAGATGCTCATGAACGTTCGCTGAAGATTGCTCCCTGGATCCCAGCACGCTCCCACTGAAAACCCACACTGGGAGACAGGTAGACCAGGGGCACTTTAAAGAGACTCCAGGACAACACAGCAACCTCAGAGGGCCCTAGGTCAGCCTTACCTTTGCATCAGTGTTGATGTATTTATTGAATCTCTTGAATGCATCAACATTGAACTTCATCAGCTCTCCCAGAAGGTCAAAGTAGCTCTGCAGCACATCCCTCGACTTGCACTCACTGTCCACAATGCAGTACAAGATGTGCTGGGGTGAGGAGGGAACGAGGTGAAGGTGTGGATGTGGCTGCCCCCTGCCCGGCTCCTGCTGGGACCTGGCATGGAGCTCAGATACTACATTTGCTTTGAGAGGACATTCAGGTTGATGGAACCTGCAACCTGGTCTAGACTTCTCTCTGAGGACATTGTTGGCCTCCAAGGGCAGGGCCAGGGCACACACCCTACTGCGGGGTGGTGGGTTGAGTATACAGTGCATCTTTCTCTCACTTGACCAAGACTCAAGAGTTGAAGCCTCTGAGCTGCTCCGTGGTCAACCATGTGGCCAAGGCTCTCCACCTCCCAAGCCCAGTTCTTACACTGGCCACTACCCAAACACCGAGGCCACTCAAGTAAATGAAGGGGCGGAACTTGAGGGCGCAAAACACTTTTTGCCCAATGGGTTCTGTGTTTATGAACGAAACTGTTAAAGTTTACAACAAAATCAATGAATTTTTACCAAGAACATAAAGCAAATTTAACTTTCTGATAAAGTTCTCTATGACAATTAAACTATTCCCAAAGTTTTCCATTTTCTTCTTTCTGAAATTACATTGATTTGCACCAATTCTTTTCCATATGAGTTTTATAAGAATTAATGTGTCAATTTGTCTGTTTCAGTTTTTTTTAAAACCAATTAGAACTTCAGCTATTTTGCTCCCCACCTTTCACTTTTTCTGTAGATCATTATTCAATAAGGGAAATTAACTTTTGCTCAATACCAACAGAGTATCAGTTTTCAAAGGCCTTGCTGGATACTCTGGACCAGTGGCAGCGAACCTATGGCACACAGGCTGTAGTGGGTCGTGTCACTGAATGCTCTAAAAGGTTTGCCGTCACTGCTCTGGACTCTCACCCTCCGGATGGCCATCCTCAAGTTCCTCAGTCACTTCTTAAGCACCCAGGGGAACCCACAGTTGGAACCCACGGCAAACATGAGGGCAATCTGCACTGGCATTTAAAACACTGGTCTATTCCTGATGATCTGTTCGAGGCTCAGGACAGGAAAGTGACGCATGGGGCTGGGGACGATGGCCACCCGACACCCTGGCTCCTCCAGGCCATACCTCCAGAAGGCCTCGCTTCAGCAGGAACATCTGGTCTGCATAGGAGGTGGTCCCGCGGAGGAAACTCTCCACAGCCCGGGCTTGCCAAAACCTGCGACCCAAACATTGACTCCTGGCCCAGGCGGCTAAGGCTGCCCTTTCCTGGCCCAGGTTCAATTCCCCCAGGGGTTGAGAGATACTTGTTCCCTTTTCTTTCTTTCTTTTTTTTGACATTTACTAAACATCTACCATGCTTCAGATCTCATCTTAGGCCATGGGGAAATAGCACTGAGCAAGAGAATTCTATCTTCATGGAGCTCACAGCTCACTGGGAAGCAGTCCTCAATCAGGGTCAGATTGGAAGGGGTTGAGTCACAGAGAAGGTGGCATCTAGGCTCCAAGAAATGGCTTCCGTAAGTCCCATGTGGAAAGACAGGCCTGTGTGGACTGGCCACAGAGCGCCCATGCGCTAGGCCGGCCTGGAGGAAACGTAGTGATGTTGGCCAAGTGGCTCCTAGGGCTCCGCTGGATCCATGAGGGGTCTGGATAAGGCAGGCTGAGGTGCTGGGGACCCCTCGGGATGGAGCCCACGGAGTTTCAACCCAGCCCTGCTGGAATTCCTCCACCCACAGCCTCTGAGAGTCATTTCGGAAGGATCTAGAAGTCAGAGCAGACCTCTGCCAGCCCCTGCCAGGGAAAGGCTTTCCTGCACTCCTATAGCTCTGGCTGCCTTTCCATGCTGCACTGAAACCAGTTTCTCCTTATCACTCTTTCCCACGACCTCAGGGAGTGCCATGTGGCCAGGGCCTGTATCCCATTTCCTTCCCACACTGCCAGCACCAGCACATTTCAGATGCTAGGGAAATGCTTGGTCACCTCAACACATCCTGCCGGTGTGCACAGGAGCACGACACTCACCTGCTGAGTCACACGGAGCCAGGCGGCAGTCAAGCCTGTCCCTAACCCCAAGAGTGACCATGCTGCAGGGACGAGCTCTAGGGGGCAAACACGGCATTTCTGACTACTTGAGAAACACGTTGCTCCTGGGCCCTTTGGAAGTGGCAGGTACCAGTCTTTAGACTCACCTAAAAGATGACTCGGCTGGCTCCTTCTTCATGACCTGCAGCAGACGAGTTAACAAGCCCCTCTTCCCATCACACACCAAACTCCTGAAATAAAGAGACAGAGTATTGGTAGCCGATTTGAGATGATAACAGGGCATTTGGGCTGGGTCATTCTGCTGGCTTAGGTGGGTGAAAAAGAAGAGGGCTACTTCTGAGTCCTCTTGCTCCACTGGGACCACAGCCCTCAGTCACTGACTGAGCAGCCAAATGAACTGCCCATACCCAGGCCAGCCCTGCTCTCCACACCCACTGGCAAAAGGCCAGAGACACATCCAGAGTCACAGAGGGTGCAAAAGCTGCTAGAGGAAGGGCCACTTACACCACGTGGGGGTTTGACACCGGCCATGACAGTCTACCCTCTGGGGCAAAGTCCGTACCAACAGGCTGGAGCCCAGGGTCCTCCCTCCCCTAGGTTCAGCTCCAGCCGGTGGTGGACAAACTCCAGGTCTATAAAAGCAAAGGCAGTAGATGGGGAAATGACTCTTGCCCTGTCATGGCACAGGCTGAGTTCTGGGTCCTTATCAAAATCTCTTTATATAAAGCAGTTCTACTTTTTTTTGGGGGGGGTGGTGGTAATAACCTCTGCACTAAGCTGCGTCCCTAGCACTTTTTTTAGGGGGGGATACTGGGGACTGAACTCAGGACCTTGTGCTTTTGAGGCAGGTGGTGGCACCACTGAGATAAATCCCAGGCCCTGCATCCCTAGCACTTTTTAAAGATTTTTATTTTGAGACTGGTTCTCATTTTGTCGTTAAGTTGTCCAGGCTGGGCTCCGGAACTTGCAATCCTCCTGCCTCAGCTCCCAGGATGCTGGAATTTCAGGCACGCACCACCACACCTGGCCAACAGCTCTACTTGTATACCTTGCAGACATCAGGGCAGGGCCGCATCCAATTTCATCTGAATGAGGAGCTCTGCTGCCTTCAAAAAAGGGCTGGGAAGTTACAGCCCTGGTTGCTGGATAAGGTCCCTCCTGTGAATCTGTCACCTCACTGCCCTGCTCCAGAAGACAAGGCAAACATAACCAGGTAATAGGACTTCACTGCTGTTGGGGGACGGGGGCCTGCTTCTCTTTGCTCTACTTGGCACAGCTCCCACTGGGCAGAAAAGAAGCACATCAGCATAGGTGCCCTATGCATGTGACAAGGGGAGGGGCAGGGCATAGACAGCCTCTAGCGGGAGACTACTTGGAGCCTCTCTCTGTTCCCTCATCTGTGAAGAGGGGGTGATGGTGGCACTTCTTTCCTAGGGCCACTGAAGCTCCAGCAAAAAACTCCAGGGGACATAAGCACCCAGCACACAGAGCCCTCTGCATGTGACAGCTATGTGTGACAAAGGGCCAGTGTGCACACCTGTGCGTGCCCATCTGAGAGGCCCCGAGCATGCAGGTAGTGATGGTGGCTGTGGTGGGGTGAACAGGGTCATGGCTGCCTGCCACCCAGGCTCACCTGTCAGTGTTGAGGACGGCTTCTACTTCAGGGATGTTGGCCTTGAGGGAGATGGCACTGAGTTCATTCAGCTCCTGGTTGTTGAGGAGCAGGTATTTGTTCCTAAAACAAACCAGACGAGGGTGGGGGTTAAAGGACAGGAACTGGGGGTGCTGGTCAACAGTAAACTTTCTGTGGAGAGAGAAGCTGCAAATCCACCAGGCAGGTTCCCCACCAGGTCCTGTCACCCCTGCACCATCATTTTGCAGGAGGAAACACAGGGCCTTGGCATCTCTAGGCCTTTCTGTTGTGTATTCAACATTTCATCTTGACTTCTCAAAGGCACCTGTGCTTCAGCACGTCCGCTCAGACCCGTCATCCTACTCCTCCAGACTGGTCCTGCTGCGATACTTCCAGTGGCCACAGTCACACAAGCAGAGGCCTGGTCAGCTCTGACACGCTCCTGCCTGTCCATCCAGGCCTGTCACCTGCTCCCTACCGAGTCCTCCTCACACAGCCCCTACAGGGCTCTTCCGTGACCCTGCTACTGTTTAATAAAATGCTTCCTCTGCTTCCCACTGCTTTGGAACATACAACATTTAAGGCTGTGACCTGGGTCCCACAGCCACAGATCACCACTGAGTTATGGCTGAGTCCAGCCCCCGTCACTCTCCCCACCTGGCCACCCTGGTTTCCCAATCACATCATAGTCCTCCTACAGGGGCTTTTGCATGGGTTCTGGCTACAACACTCACCATCTTGCTCTGCCTTTTTACCTTATTTATTCCTAATGACCTTTCCAGGCTCAGCTGTCAAGTTATTTCGGCAAGAAGAGTCCCTGAGCTCCACTGGCCAGTCAGGACGCTGGCCAACCGTCCTCTCACAGAATCGTGCTCCTTTCCTCCCAAATACCATGTCCATTTGTTACCATATATCCATCCCCTGGTGACATTCTCTGCGTAATGCGTAACTTCCTTCCCACACTGTACCCTTTATGATAGAAGGGGCTACAGCTCCCCTTAGTCATCCCTTCTTCCCCAGCTTGGCAAACAGAAGTGCTGATCTGAGAGTCAGACAGAAGCTAAGGACTCACTGTCTCAAACAACACACAAAAATTACTTTTACAGACTACTGGCCTTCAGCCAGAGAAGCCCTCACGAGGGCCAATCACAGAACGAGAACCAGTTTAATTCCCTGGGCCACATGTATTTTCAGGTGTGTTCTGTTTGCTTATACAATGTTCTCAAAGAATTTAAACACTTAAAAATCAAAACTTGATCTCTCTGTACTGCAGAACCAAACCAAACCAGGACCTCTTATATAAATCGTAATTTCTGCCTTTCTTTGCGGGGGTGGAATCAGAAGCTATACAGTAGTGGGCCTGGGTCCCTGTCGCTGGAGCTGAGCAGCAGCCGGTTGTTCTGAAGGTCAAGGGTCAGTTACTATTCCCTCTTCCTTGCACTGTTTTGCTTACAGCACTGAATCATTTTTCTGTACATTCTCCATCAAAGTTTGAAAAATAAAAAATAAGCAAGCAAAATATCTCAAGAAAAACGGAAGAGAGCATGTGTTGTGGAGATGAAAAGCCCTCCTTCCATGTGTTCCGCCGGCCAGCTCTGCCTGTGTGAGGTTCAGGGGGCAGCTGACTCCAAGGGACGTAAGCGGGCAGCAGCACCCCCTCCTGTAGGGACACACACGTACTTACTCGTGGTGGTCACTGAAACTTTGAAGAAGCCTCAGAAACTGGATCTTCAAGGTGATGTCCTAGAACACATGTTAAAACCAGTCACAAGTTTTCTAAATAAGATAAGGCCGGGGCTCTTGTATAGCTTGGCATAACACTCTGCTTCTTTGAACCTCTGTCCTCATACATCATAAGAGATTTTCTTTAGTTAGAAAACCATATGGTCAGCCCTCCACATCTGGCACTTGGCAATTAAATGAATGTGGACCCTTTCTGGTACAAATATACTAGCATACTGGATTTAAAAAAAAATCACCCAAATTCTTTTAAATGCAAGGTTATGTTCATAAGCTGGGAAAGAAATCTGGATGCAACAGAAATAAAGATCTGAGTCTGGATCACTAAACCCAACGGCTGATACTCAGGTATCTGAGGGCAGTGTGCAGAGGAGGAAGGGGGCCTAATCACAGCTGGGCTGGAGCTCTTGTGCTGCAATGACAGACAGGACCCCAGGTCTGTGCAAAGACCTGACCTATGGTCCAGAGAGCCGTCAGAGAAGCCTGGTTCCGCCCAGTGCACAGCTGGCAGTGGGAGGGAACCTCTCCGAAGTGAAAACTCATGCGCATACTAGCAGAGTGGCAGCAAACATGAGAGCTGACTGTGGGACAGATGCAGCCCCTGGAGGACGTGCCAGACAAAAACAGTGGTGCCCTATGAAATACTTGGAGGGCTGAGGCTACACAAGTCCCCTAGGAAAGCAAGCCCTACTGAAATGGGCCTCTCCACAAATGTTAGAAAACAAGAGGCAATACCCCTTCCTGCAGGGCTGATGACCCAAATACAAGAAAGAGACCCTACAACTGTGAATTCGAATGCTTCAAGAATAACATGCAACTGAAGAAAAAGACGAGACACATGATGAACGAGGAACAAGCAGTTTTTGGAAAAGAGTCAGAATGTCTAAAAATGCAAAATATATTCACTTGAAGTTAAAAACTCAGCCAGGAGTGGTGGTGCATACCTATAATACCAGCACTCTGGGAGGCCGAGACAAGAGGCAGGTTAAGTTTAATGTCAGCCTGGGCAACTTAGCAATACTCTCTCTCAAAATAAAAAGTAAAAGTTGGGCTTGGGATGTAGCTCAGTGTGAAAGCCCTAGGTTCAATCTTCAAAAAAAAAGTATTTCCACAAAGATGGAGGCATAGATGCAGATCTTCCCTAAGTTAGCCTCCATTAATGGGATCACAAAGTATGACTTTGAGTTTCTGCTGTGCTCCCAGAGAACAAGGGGTTAAAAGATCAGCATCACTACCAGTGATTAAAGTCCCATGTGCTCCTGGGCTCCCTTGCTTACCGGGCTACAGTCACAGTTTTGGTTGTGACCATGGAGGACGAGGGCAGATGCTGAATGTTTTCTCCAAATCAGCTTGTCAAACAAATTATTAAGTCCTGGGATCAGCTTAAACTCTGCGATCATTCTGTGAACCTGGATGGGGTGGGAAAGGAAAAGCTTTAAGACAAACGCACTTTGAAGACCCAGCATGTGCATGACAAAGCTCACAATACACAAAGTCACAAGTCAAACGTGACACAGGGAGAACATATACCAGCAGTTTATATCATTGGCAGAGCAAATGTCCTCTTAAGGAGCCCTAAAAATCTCCAGACAAAAAAACCATTCCTTGTGCTGAATGTCTATAATTTTGTTCAGATGACTGCAGAACCTGGAAAAGCTGTTGCTGCTATCAATGCATAACATACTGCTATTATTAGTCTTTTTATATAAATATAAATATATATATACATATATATATATAAATTGAAT